TACACCTAGGTATTTTATGGAGGCTACACGCGTCAGTGTTGCACAGTCACATATATGCCTATCTGTACTCCGGTTACATGGAAAGGTGTGTATTTTGAGACAGTATTCAGGAGGAGGATTACTAACAGATGTTATGCTAAAACAGACATACTTGGTCTTGTTAGTATTCAACGACAGGAGACTGTTTTCCAACCAAGCCGTGACTGTAGCCAATCCACTCGCAGCCATATCAAATGCTTTCTTCCAGGTAGCTGCATAGCATATCAACACCGTGTCATCAGCAAACATTATCATATCCAATCCTGGTAAGGCAGTGCTGCACAAGTCATTCACATAGATGAGGAAGAGAGATGGGCCAAGCGTACTACCTTGCGGAATACCGTAATTGTAGGTGGACTCCTCACTTACGTGATTTGCCACTTTGACAACCTGGGATCTATCAGTCAGGTAATCCTCAAACCAGTCTAGCACCACCCCCCTAATACCAACATTATCAAGGCGTGACAATAAAATTGGTATGGACACAGTATCGAATGCTTTTTGCAGGTCTAGAAAAACTCCTAAACATTTTTCTCCTCTATCCAGGTGCGATACCACTGTAGAGGTGAGCGTAAGGACTGCGTCTTCTGTAGATTTTTGGTGCCTGAATCCGAACTGGCGATCACTAAGAATTTTGTTAGTTTCTAAGTACGCTATCAGCCTTTTGTTAATAATTTTTTCCAGTATCTTTGATAATGTTGATAAAAGGGAGATGGGCCGGTAATTCGAAGGTTCTTGCTTGTCCCCAGATTTAAAAATAGGACAAACAACCGCCTTTTTAAAGATTGGAGGAAAGATGCCCGTTTCCATGCTCAAGTTGCACAGATAAGCAATAGGTGGGGCGAGAGATGTGATGTTTCGTTTTACAATGTCAGTTGTAATGCTGTCCCACCCGGGAGCACTGTGCGATTTGAGTCCTAAAACAATGCTTTTAACTTCAGATGGATCTGTAGGTCTTAGGGACATGGAATTCAGCGGAGCTGTACCGTTCCTGGCTTCTCGAGCTAGGTCATATTCCGACTTATGAATCAGGTCCTGAAGTTTTTTAGCGAGTGTACATCCAACTCCGGTAAAATAGTTGTTTACTATACTGAGAGCTTTTGCTGGTGGATCGTCGATATGAAGTTAATCTTCAGCTCTTTCATTTTTACTTTTCATATCACATACTTCCTTTATTGTTTTCCATGTCTCTCTTGCATTGCCTTTAGAAGATTGCAATCTTTCTTGATAATATTTTTGCCCTAAACATTTTATTATATAATTACAAGTGTTTCTATATTTATGGTATTTATGCATTTGTTGCGTATCATTTTTAGATCGTACTGCAATTTTATGTAGTTTATCCCTCCTTCTAATACATTTAACAACCCCCACAGTTATCCATGGCTTTAAAGGTCTATGCTTATTAGAAGTTATTGTCGTCGTGGTGTTTTTTGATACAATATTACACAGTTTGGTCAATAATATTTCCGAAGCAATATTAGTGTCATAAGTGTTATACAAGTCAACCCAAGTATCATTAGTCAGTAACTCACTAATAGTCTTGTAGTCGATTTGTATTTTTTTTGTGTTCAACCTTATGTTTAACTACTGTAGAATTTTCTATGTGGAGCAGTATGGGCGAGTGATCTGTAATTAAGTGGTCAAATACCAACGTTTTCCAGTTACTGGAACATTTAATCATGTAGTGATCTAAACATGTTCTACCCATTCTAGTTGGTTTTGTGATACCTTGCATTAGGCCATGTGCTGCCATCAGATTTAAATAATTGTTCGAAGACTGACTTAGGCTTTCCGGTGTAATGTCGATGTTGATATCTCCAGTAAAAATAATATTTTTAGTACGGATATTACTTAAAACCGTATCTAAAGATTCAAGATATGGTTTAGTATCTGAAAAGCACGGTGGGCGATAGGAGCAAACTAATGTATAGTCAGGTTTTACTGTGATAATGAGGCAATTGCCCTCTTGTACACCTGGCTCATAAGCACTGCTCATAAATTCACTGCGAATGTACACAACAACGCCGTCATTTTGGTTAAGACTAGATTGTGTCCAATGCTTGTTGTAATCAGGAATGTTGGGAGGTGGATGTTCTATATCTGTCCAGCACTCCGAAAATACAAATATATCTATAGGAATCTTTAATGAGGTAACAAATGCCAGAAAGTGGTCCAAATTGCAGTTTATACTTCTAATGTTGAAGCTAATTATTGTCATCGATCTATTTGTTCCTGTATTATGGTTCAGTAGTTGTGAACACGTACTGTTGACCATAACAGACCTACAGTCTACATGTTCCCTTTCATCAACCTCATTAATGATTTGGAGATCGAATTTTATTAGTAAAATGGTGACACTTCTGGGTGATTATGAACAACAGAATACAAATATAAAGTCGATTGGGAGTTATGAGTAGTGTCAGAAATATTAATAATTTAGACGTGTTTATTATTATTAGATCAATACGAGTATCCATTTTGTTTAGAAAGCTAATATAAAAATTAGATATACTGTAGGCTTTATAGTTTAGAAATACCGTTTTGTTCGTTTTAGTATTAAAATTTGTTTGGGCCACAGATAAAATTAAATCAATATATTTTACATTATAATTTCTTAAGTAGCTATAGCGTGCTTCTTGTTCTATGAAATACTCTGTGGATTTTATGTTCGTTAAGATATGTAATAATTGTTTCTGGATGTAAGATGATAACACATATATAATCAAATCGTTTTTGTTAACTGCAATGTAGTACTCGCACAATATTGTTATTGCAAAACGCATAGTGTTATGAATGTGTATGTTAGTGTGAATAGATGCATAATTGCAGTATCTGTAAAAAGTACGGGCGTGTGTAATCTGCAAGTTTGGTAAGTTATACATTACAATTAATATTAAGTTTGGTAAGTTATACATTACAATAAATATTATTTTTTTTTGTTGCAGGGTAATCTTACTGTATGTATATTTTTGTCCATTTACACACGTACATGTGCACAGGTGCAATAACAGGTACAATAAAAAATGGAGAATAAGAACCTCGTAACGGGTAAAACATACATTGTAGAAGTAGTTTCCAGTTCAATAAATGTGAGGTAGATTAGTAACATTATATATAAAGGGATTTGTTTCTGTTTATTGCATTCACCAGATAGTCATTTCATGCAGGATGTCAGTCCTTCAAGATCTGATTGCTGGTCTATTCTCATGGCCGGTTCCCCCTCTTTTTTCCTGATAAAAACTCTTCCGTGAGAAGTCCAGCGGTAGGCATAATTATTTGTCTTAGTAAACTCCCGCGCCTGATAATATAGTTTCTTCGCTTTAGAGGTGAGACTCTCCGAAATATAAATGGGGGTATTCCCTCCCAAATTAATGTGTGAGCTGTTAAGTCTGTTCGACCTGTTCTCCCTGTTGAATTTTTTTACATTTGAAAGTAATTTTTCTTTTATAATGACGCTCGTGAATTCTACTGAAACAGTTCCCGCAGCTTCAGAGCTTTTGTTGTTCCTAGTGCGGTAAACATCCCGATCTTCCTGCGCTGAAATTTGAGTGTTCATGGTTATTCCGATGGTTTTCACAATGTGGAGGAGATCCTCTTTAGACTCTCCTGGTTTTTTGGGAACATTGCGTATCTCAAGGCTTGCAGATTTCGAATTTCGTTCAAGGTTGTCGACTTTATCCTCTAGCGATTTAATGTACTCTAAACTGTTCTTCCTTTCAAGCTCAAAGCGAGCCAATTTTTCTACCATTTCATCGTATCGGTGCCCCATGAATTCGACGGCAGCCTGCAGTTCGACATTTTGTGCTTTGATATGCTCTATATTTGTTTGCAGTTTGCAAAATTTTTCATTCTGTTCCTGTCTCAAAGTTGCAAATGAAGATAGCAGATCATCGCGGAGTAAGTTCAAATCGACCGTTTGTTCCAAGTCATGTTTGCGTTTTTGTCGGAGAGTGATGCGGTCCATAACTAGTTCAGAATTCGGTGTCGACAAGTCAGTACTGTTAAAACATTAGAAAAATAGTATATATCTTTGGATGTCATTGCTACTTGTAAACTAGTTTATTATATAATATAATTTAGTCAATCCCTAGCATTGTTTACAGGGATTCTCATACATCGAAAGAGATTTTATTGGTGCCACATATTACATTGGAGTAAAATGCACTGTAATTCCTGGAGGTTAAGGTTCATAATTTGTTCCCCTTACACTTTACCGTTGTTTTGCAAGTGTGTGCGAGTCTCATATCTATTTGTTTGTGTGTTGAGATGTAGCGACATCGGTTTTGGAAGTAATCGGGTGCTAATTCATTTCTAGTGTCTTATTATTACGATTTCTGTGGTCATTGGATATGAGTTTAAGCGTATTTCACATAAGGCACTTTAGGAATAAAAGATCAGGAAACCGAGATTCGGAAACCTGTTAAGTTGATCCTCCAGCTACCTCACTCGCTCGACGAAAGCATCAAAAGTCCATGTGAGTCCGTGGCGTCACTTCAGTCCAACCTCCCTATACGTGCCGAAACATATGTTCTGATTACGATCATTTGTTCTGTCTGGGTATATTTAGCAGTCTGGTTACCACAGTATACGGTCTGACTAATTTGGGATCAGACTGCCGTGTATGAGATGTGTGAAGTTTTTATTATTATATATCCATATCTATACTAATATCATAAAGAAGAGAGATTTTGTTTTTTATTTATTTGTTTGTAATGAATAGTCTCCGAAACTACTAAACTGATTTTAAAGATTCTTTCACCAATTAAAAGCTATATTATCTGCGTGTAACATAGGCTACTTTTTAACACGAGGGGAGCAGCAGGCAAAATAAACAAAATAACTTTAACATTTATTATGTACTACTATTACTATCCTCGACCGATTTCGACCCACGGCGATTGTCTTCAACTCCCTTCAATTATAATATAAGTATACTTGTAGATAACTAACTTACTTACCTTCTCGTTAATAGCTACAGGCCTAGAGCTGAAGGCCAGACACTCGTGGGTCAGGAAAAAAGTATTCTCTTTTGGTGTAGCAATTTGCGCAGTACAAAAGTCGTTAGAGAGCTTTATGGACTGTCCGTGGACTCTATGAAAACGTAGTGGAGTTAGAACGTCCATTGCAACATCGACGTGGGAGGTTGTGCAATCTGCTAGAGACAGAAGAGAGATATGAAAGGAGTAATCGTCTTTTTTAAGGTATCGGAGGGCAAACGAGCACACGGGTCACATTTTGGTAAGCGACTACCGCCGCCCATCATCAGCCTATCGCAGTCCACTGCTGGACATTGCCCTATCTTACTGCTTACTTAAGCCACTTCGATCGATTTTCGGCTTCTCGCATCCGACTCCTGACTGACATCTTGGGCAAATTGTCACTCCACCTGGCCTGCAGGCGTCCTTCACAACGTTTGCCTAGACGCGGTCTCCACTCAAGGACTCGTTTACCCCAACAGTTAAATGGCCATCCCACTGCCACTTCAGCTTGCTAATCCGGTAGGCTATGTTGATGACCTTTGTTCTCTGCCTGATCACCTCATTCCTGAAGCGATTCTTTAAAGATACACCCATAGCACGCTGAGTGACTTAAGCTTGTGAACCAGATGTACCGTAAGTGTCCACGTTTCGGCTCTGTATGTCATGACGGGAAGGACGCACTCGTTGAAGACTTTCGTCTTTAGGCACAGTGGGATCGACGATAAGAAAACTCGACGTAGGTTATCCAAGGCTGCCCAACCCAATTAAATTCTTTTATTCACCTCGTCGTCGAAGTTTTTTCTACCTAACTGCAATATCTGTCCGAGGAAATGTACCGCAATCGGTTTCGGTAGTACCATAACAAGCAACTCATAAGTCGCAAGAGCGTTGTTCCTCTTGGAGTCCACCCCCATAATCAAGTGGATAAATGATAAACGATGAAAAATGATATTTATTTCTGTAAGTAAATATACATTTTATATATTTTTACATGTCGGACTTTACAGCTAGAAAGCGCCGGCATTTTCTCACTTACTCTGAGAAGAAATGCTGAAACAAACCACAGAGGTGTCCGGCTCCGGCCGAGCAACCATGCACCTGCTAACCGGGGGCAGGCCACGCGTTCCTCCGGACGCCGGTCATGCCCCGAAAACATACCTCGCAACTCGGGTGCCCCGCAGGCTCGAGCGACCGTCCTTCGCTCGCCAGCGTCGAGTGTGAGGGGTAACACGTGACGCGGGCTTCTCTCGCGCTCCGTAGGCTTGAGTGCGAGAGAAAACAACCGGCCACGAAACAGCGAGCTCCCCTCGCGCTCCGCAGGTTTCGAGCGCCCCTGCGCTGGCCAGCGTCGAGTGTGACAACAAGCGCCGCTCACAGCTCTTGCAGTTGTGACCCCTCCCCGTTACCCGCAGGCACCTGTGCCTGCTTACGCCAAGCAGGCGCACGGACGCAGGGACGACCGCCGACATATCAAGAGCAACACATCCCGGACTAGACACTGTGGGGGACCGCGCGTAAGTCGCCACCTTGCTGCTGATCGGAGCTGGGCCTTCCCAGGTATCGCCTGGGGTCTTACCTGGCTCGGGCTGATCGCCGAGGTGGCGTGAAGACCGAAACGATACCCCACACAACCTATTCCGTTAAAGGACACCCCATGACCTGCCCCTTTTCAGGGGTAGATAGATACGGCTGGCAAAAGGGCCAAAGCCCCGATCCAGCTACCGTATGTCCCGTAGGGGACGTACGGTACTCGGATTTTGGCGGATTTGGGAACGTAAAGCAGACATGTGGACAAACTTGCAAAAGGTTGAAAATGTACCGAATGCAGTTATTAAGAAGGCGGTCTAGCTTGTTAAGGAAGTCTGCATTCAGGTCGAAATAACATACATTGCCATAGGTTTACAACGAAAATTCTTCCTCGCTGATTATCAAGTCCTCTGTAGCCGCTGACATTGCCGAATCTCTAATTATAGTTGCAGGATAGTTTTATCAATTTTATGCCACAGCAAAGCGTGACAGGGTAAAGCAAGCATTCTTTAAAAACTGAATCGGGTCACTTGCCTGATTCTATTTGATCACGGCGAAGGGCTGGCCATTTAAGTTCGGATAAAATACTTGGAGCAGGCCCTTTGGTAAGAGAAATGTTGCGTCTCAACGTAACTCTGATGCCTATACCCAATTTCAATACGTTCATCAAACCACCACAGTTATTCGTATCACCAGGAATCACATTTGAAGGTGGTCCTTTTCCGTAGGTTGCTACCTCTCGCGTAAGTAGTTCAATCTACTATGTACCATGATTATTTACACCAAATATAAAAAAAAGATACAACAAAGCCTAAAATCAAACACAAACTGTCTACCTAAAAACACTAAAAACAAACTGAATTATTTATATTATTAAAAAAATGTGAAAGTTTTTCCAAATAATTAAATCAAAAACTTTACCTAGTAACTATTGCTTACCTATTCTTAGTAAAATTTCTAATGAAATATAATATAGTAAATAAGATATAATATCACAAAGCGAATGGAACTTCGTTCCGACCGGGGGTCCATAGACCCCTCACCGGTACCTACTGTCTTCTTCTCGAAGTCTGTTTTTTTTTACTGCAGTCAGTTTAATCTAATCCATCTCGTTTTATATCAAATGCATCCACTATTAATTTGCTGGTCTGTTTTCATCACCTATGTCCAGTAGTGGACTGCGAGAGGCTGATGATGATGATAATTTATGATATTACTTCAGTTTGTCAGTATTGCGAACCCAATAGAATTCTTTGTCTGCCAAGGTATTTTCTTATAGTAAGCGACTACCGCTGCTTTTAACCTGCACATGGACACCTTCGACAACGGCAACTATAGCGTCACAACCGCGCGAATGGGAGAAGGGATGGGTCTGTTAAGTCCGTCGGTAATCTCACTCACATTGTGTACATTTATGCTATTATACCAATTGGACTTGTTACTGAAAATGATAACAGTATCTGTACGTAACAAACTTGGATACGTACGAAAGCCACACTATTGCATTAGGTTTTCAACCAGTAATAATAATTATAACTCGATACATTATACATATTAGTCAGTGCCTGTGTAAGCTGGTTCCTAATCAGGCAGCTGATAAATATACTTATATATTTATAAATACATACATATTATACATATCCTGTTATAGATAAAGTACACCCGAACACAGAACCTTATCTTATGTCTAATCTAAAGTAATCTTACTGATTACAGAACAATAAAATTTTATGAAATAAATATTTTACTGTTATGCGATGATGGTCCGTGTGTTGAAGGATTAAAAATACAGAGTGTCACCTCCCCTATTCATCCCGTGGGTGTCGTAAGAGCCGACTAAGAGAGAAAACTACGCAGAACAACCACACTGCAGAGAGAAGGAAAACTTGACACAAACCCTGTACCAACCCGTCTGGCCAGCTTGGTATAGTAGACCAAAACCTCCTTTCTAAGGGGAGGCTTATGTCCAGCAGTGGACTATTAAAGGCTGTTGATGATATGATGAAATTAAAATTTACCTAATCTATACTATCAATACTTAGGTATATTATAAATGTGAAAGTGGTGTTGTTTGTTAACCACTTAACCACCTGGCGATTCTTCTGATTATTTGCCTCCTAAACCATCTATACAGATAAATAACATTGAAGTGTCTTTGTACTCGTATTGTCTAAATAATAGGTTATTTTCCTGCTCACACGGTTATTTGCACGATACCTGTGTCTAAAACCAGTTTAAATATTTTTGTCTGGCTGTTTGTTCCGGGTAATCTTCAAAACGGCTGGACCGATTTTAATAATATTTAGCAACTTAGGCTATAAAATTTTACCATGTCCAGGAATCGAACCCACTAAGGCAGCACAAAAAAAAAATTCAGTTTTTCAAATTCCACACGAACGAGCGGGCACCAGCTAGTAAAAAAATATATATCTACCTATAACTCTACTCAGATGTAAACATAGTTATGTAAATAAACACCAATACAGGATATTTACTGTAGTTTTCTGCAAATAATATAACTTAAAACGAATGACATCAATCTGTCACAGTAATAAAAAAAATAGTACAATAACCCGATAAGCATAAAATAAAGTCGCCATACCTTTTTTTATTTTTGTCCACAAGGTGAACCTTCTAATTTAACAATATTTGTGTCACTCGAACTCAAACAGCTTAATATACATAAATCACAATTAAAACAATGAAAAAATGAAAAAAAAAGTGCGCTATTTCTGCACACGCCCGATTAATACAACTAAAATGGGTGTTATCAACACGTACAACGAGAATGAACGAGTCCGATGTATTTAAAGACAGTTATCTACTAATAAATAGATAAGAAATAGTGTTATCTACTAAGGGTCTGAGTAGAGGTAGTCCTCCCGGGCCCTCTCCGCGAGATGACGTCTTCGCAAAAGGATGCGATCACGGTGAAACATCTGCCACTACCGACCATGGAGCGTATGACGGCCGGTAGCAAGAGATCCCCCCCGATGACTGAAACAAGGACCCGGCGCTGCGGCGCCCAAGTCGGGTAAATTGCCCGCTTATGCTTAGCCGAGTCCCCGCCGCAATCGCACTAGTGATAAGCAGGACTCAATTCACTCCTAGCGACCGAGTGCAGGTACTTCCCGAAGCAGCCGTGCCCGGACAAGACCTGCGTCAGCCAGAAGGAAAGGGTCCCGTGCTGCCGCCCTGCCCGCCTTGGGCAAGGGCCGACCGCCGCTATCCGCCCGGAACTCAGCCGTCCTCCGATATACTTCGGCGAACGTACATGACGGTACATTCTTTAAACTGCCTGCCTCAGGGGTGTAGTGGTAGCGTTAGCGACTGCTGTGCTGAGGTCTCGGATTTGATTCCCGGTTCAAACCAAATATTTGTATGATCGACAAATATTTGTTCCGGTGTTTTCTAAATATAATATGTTTGTTTTTACAAAAAATGTATATATACGTATTCTATCAGTCAATCTGACTTTCATAGTACAAGCTCTGCTTAGTTTGAAACTAGATGGCGTTGTACGTCAGATGTCTGAAAATATATTAAAATAAAATATTGTAAAAATGGATAACTTGCCAAAACTTAGAATAACAATTAAACCTAATCTCGTTCACCAAAAAGACTAGTGTAACACATATTAGGTATATTATGAGTAGATACGATCGCATCGTGTCGATAATTTAATAACACATTTGTGTTTTCCTTATAACTTGTTTTTATAATTAATTCGTTCTTCATTAATTTGTATCAATGAGCTAATCTAAGAAAACTGTTTATTTCAAACAGATTAAGAACCCATAGATAATCTAAGATTAAAATTTATTGCCATCATTGGTATGTAAAGCTTTTGGAAATAAAAATTTATAAAGAAGTTCGATTGTCTTATAAACGCACTTGAAAATAAGCTAGAATTTTTCATTTTTTTTTTATTTTGTTATTTCAGAACCCAATCAGTTAGGCACCAATTTGGAAAATTCTATTTTTATTTTGGGAGGGTATACTTCCAATTTGTTCTCGTTTCAATTTGCAAAAAAAATACCACACCTACGGGTTAAAAACCCCTAAGAAATGCAGATTACAATTTATTACATTTTTCATAACGTAGACACGTCGAAGTCGATGATACTTTTTAGTAATTACTAGCTTTGAGATGCCTGGCCCGTTATTGACAGGTTATTCTGAATTCTGAGCCGGAGGTTGTGGATTCGATTCAAACCCAGGACAAACAGTTGTGTATGGCTGCATTTATTAATATATAGCTGACCCGCACAACTTCGTCTGCGTCTCTCAATCTATACTAATATTATAAAGCTGAAGAGTTTGTTTGTTTGTTTGTTTGTTTGTTTGTTTGAACGCGCTAATCTCAGGAACTACTGGTCCGATTTGAAAAATTCTTTTAGTGTTAGATAGCCCATTTATCGAGGAAGGCTATAGGCTATATATCATCACGCTAAGACCAATAGGAGCGGAGCACCAATGAAGAATGTTTCAAAAACGGAGAAAATTTATTACTATTGAGAGACGCAGACGAAGTTGCGCGGGTCAGCTAGTAGTAAATAAATTTTCTCCGTTTTTGAAACATTCTTCAACAAACAAACAAACTCTTCAGCTTTATAATATTAGTATAGATAAGTATGTTTATCAGCAGAATGGTCACCATGGTATAGGCTCCGCCATGTGTGAGATGTGTCATGTTTATATTTACAAGTAGTTAAGTTTGATTCTACCAATGCCTCATATTTTCTTTTCTCTATCGTGACAACATGTGTGACTTTATTGGTGGTAAACCCCCTCGGGCCATCACCTGGCATGCGCGCCTCTGAGTACAAATCTTACTACCGGTTCTCTTTGAAGTGGTGACACCGGTCGCATCACCGTCTCGGCATCTAAGCATACTTCTGCAGTGGTGGATAAAGGATTAAGAGTAAAATAAAGCGCAGAAGTTGATAAAAGGCAACATTTTTTTACTTATTTGACTTTCTCATACTCTTTTGCACGGAAATATAAAACACAATATTAAAATCTTTGATGGTATTTAAATTTTGGTAATTTTTATTCAATTCAGAATATAGATGGGGAAATATTCACTCACATTATAAAAGACGATATATTGATTCAAGCTGGTCCCATAGTGACCATGGCACGATTTTCACTTGATAATTACTAATTAGTTAGAAACGGGATATTACGAATGTTTAATTTCGTAAATTTGTTAGGTTAATCAGGGAGTTCTAATAACTTACCAAATAATAAGAGTCCACCCATGAAATCTAAGAGTTTGGAATCAATAACTTAAAAAAATAGTCACCCGTACAAACTAGCGCCCCTTTTTAAGAGTAGTTTTTCAAAATTAGTAACAATCTAGCTGTTAATTTAGCTGCTTTTCATTTTCTACGTACTGTAATGTCAAGCCTTAATAATAAGCACTTAGTATCTGCTCTATATATGGATTTAACTAAAGCTTTTGACTATGTTAATTATAACATCCTCTTAAATAAATAAGAAGCCTACGGAGTTTGAGGAAATGTCCTCAATTTTTAAAAAAATACCTAATAAATCTTAAACAATCACACAAATTAGTCACATACGTCAAAAAATGTATAGACAAATAATACATTCACCATCATATCGCGAAGTAAATCAAGGAGTCCCCCAAGGAAGTATTTTTGGTCCATTGTTGGTCATTGTTTATATTAACGACTTACCAAATTATATAAACCAAGATATTATAAGATATATTGTTTGCAGATGATAGCACAGTGATGTACACAAGCACAAATAAAAACCGAATGATATCTGACATAAATCAAACACTGGACATAATAATTCAATGGTTATCAAATAGTAATTTATTAATTAATTAGAATAAAACAAATTTAATGACATTTAGAAATAGGAAAAATAATTTAATAAATCTTAATATATGCTACAATGGTCAATAACTTAATATGGTCGAAAATGCAAAAAAATTAGGTCTCAATCTCGATTAAAATTAAATTGGAAATCTCAAGTGGAAGACATTTGTATTAAACTCAACCAAGTCTCTTATGTATTATATAGACTTGGAACAGTTGTGAACCAACCATCTGTCATCACTGCATACCACGGTTATGTAGTGCTAAGGTATGGTGTCAACTTTTGGGGTAACTTTGTACTTTCAGTGATATAATATTTATAGCCCAAAAGAGGTGTGTTTGGGCCATTGTGAATCTAAAACAGACGGATAGTTGTAAACCATTTTTTATTAGTTTGAAACTGTTAACGCTTCCATGCCTTTATGTACATGAGGTAGCCGACTTTGTTATTACTCATATTTCTTTATTTGTGCCCCTACAGAGTAGACGTAATAATCACAGAATATGTTTTCCATCAAACAAAACAGCGCAATTTAGCAACAGCGTGTTTTGTATGGCGCCTCGAATTTATAATCATTTACCGCATCATATTGAGATGCCCTAACATAGGTCAGTTTCAAACGCTATTGAAGGCATTTCTCTTTGATAGGGCATTGATTTTCATACGACAATGTGAAAGAATATCTCAAAGACAAATATGAAATCGAATAGTTGGTTGTTGCATGGCTTATAACTAAATAGACTTACATAATAAAAACAAAAAGAATGACATGGATTATACTAAATTAATTGATATTTATATTATTTTTGGTCATGTGTGAACTCTGTGTATCTGTGTGAAATCTAATTATAACTAATGTTATAGGCATGTTTGAATAATTTAATGATTTAATATAAAAGTACCCAATGAAATGTGATAAATATTGTTTGCCAAATGGCGGAATAAAGCTGCACTAAATGTTTATTATATAACTGATAATATATAAAAACATTTGAATTGAATTCAATATTTAATGACTTTAATAAAAAGATTTACTACCAAAAATAACGAAGTTTAATTTAAATTTAAAATCCCACTTTTGGGTTGGAATTTTTAAAAATCCTTTTTTATTGCACATCTACGTCACCTAAAAAAACATTTGTGCAAAATTTCATGCTTCTAGACCCAATGGTTTCGTGTGTGTGTTGATCGATCAGTCAGTGAATCATTCTGTCAGTTTCTTCTTTTATAGACAGTACCAGTGGTAAACATGAAATTTACCTAAATCGATTAATCGCCCCGAAACCCCCTTTTTTTCCGTGCGGAGATCCCCTCGGATACCACCTATCGGTGGCATGTCGGACTCAAAGAATTATCACAGATTGAGTAAATCTGTTACCCTTTTGAAATAATGACATGAAGTAGGTTATTATGTAAACTAGCTAACAAACATTATGGCACATTAAGTCCTGCTTCTTTGGTCAATTAAATCTTAGAGAATCATTTGGACGCTCAAGACGCTGTATCTAGAACTTCTAGTATTTTCTGCATACATTTCATTCTTCTGTGTTCTGGTATTCTATGCAATTGATATTCAACTATTTTAGCGAACTGTTTTACACCATAATCGGCTGATTCTGGAATATTTTCGACATCGGTAGAAAATGTCGGTTGATTTATCTTTGCACCTGAAACAAAATAACATTTAAAGACATCAACAAACATATAATCATACATACTCACGCTGGACCGGTTCTACCGGAGTAATGGCACGGCCTCACAGAAAAACAGTGTTAAGCAACTCTTGCGTTGCTGTAACCAGGTGAGTCGAGTTACCGGAGCCTCAACCCCCCCCCCCCCCCCAATCTCTTGCACTCAAAGGGCGTCAACTCACTTATGTCCATGGGAAGCGGTAGTCACTTACCAAACGATGACTCATCAGCTCGTTTAGCCCCTTTATCATAAAAAGAGAGCAAAAGAGATAAAAAGTTGTTCTACTCACTCGTGCTAGGTAGAAGAATTGATGTGAATGCTTCTTCACTTGTCTGTGCTGTCTTTGATTCAGTCTCATCGAATTCAGGTTCAGTTTTCACAGTACTTTCTACCTGTATAGATTACAAAAATATTTATTAGAGATAAACGGTTTTAATCACGAGTGTTTTTCGGGGTTTCCGTCTGATGACGGATTAGGAATACAGAGTGTCATCACCCCTATTCCTCCCGCGGGTGTCGTAAAATCCGACTAAGGGAGCAAACTACGTAGGACAACAACACTGCAAAGAGAAGGAAAACTTGAAAGAAAACCCTTTTTTTTACTTGAGGAAACTCCCTCGGGCCGTCACCGCAGCGGGGTTTTAGTCGGTTCGATTCCGACACACCCCTGTCGGAATCGAACCGACTAAAATCACACGGTGTGCCACTCTGCGCCTGTAATAGGAGGGATATGGGAACTACTGTTATTAAGACATAAGGACTCCTCCTAGCGCCTGCTCGCAGGGGCGCAGGCACCACCTTCGGGTACATTCTCCACCCAGGCGACGTCAGGCACACGTGGACGTCGCCTTATCGCGGCTGGCTCTTATAACGGGTGGAGGAGAAAACCCGGTTCGTCGGCGGCGAGTTAGGTCCGAGTGAAGATCATCCTCCCGGGCCGTCTTCGGCGCCTCCTTCTGCGAGATGGTTCGCAGAAGGATGCGACCGCGGTAAAACAACTATCACTACTGTTGTCTGTAGCCGTCTGTAGGCTGGCCAGACGGGTTGGTATAGGGTTTGTGTCAAGTTTTCCTTCTCTCTGCAGTGCTGGTGTCCTACGTATTTCGCTCCCTTAGTCGCCTCTTACGACACCCACGGGATGAATAGGGGTGGTGACACTCTGTATTCTTAATCCGTCACCACACACATAAATGCTTGTACATTCATAACAAGTATTAATCAGCATGAGATGGCAGTGTGTGAGATGTGTGAAGCTATTATTATATTGTTATTATTATTCAGGGTAACATACCCCCCAGTCGAATAGAGTTTGTCCTTTAGTATTAGTTGTAGTTTCTGTTCTTAGCTTTCCAGTGAGCATATTACAGTTTGCTGGACTATTTTTTCTCTCGTCATCACCGTCACTTTTTGTATATTTGCTCGACGCTCCTATTTCTTCTTCTTTAGCAGTCTGTAAATTATTATCAATCATTACTATGTATGTTAGGAGGTAAGGATAGAACATTTTTAATAATTTTATTAAAAATAAACAAATTGCTGTATGCCTATAATAATGTTATTTTGCATATTTGTACCAATACAGAATTTTTCGAGTTGTGCATAGTTTTGAAGGGATGATAACAATAATATGTTACAGAATTTAGTCCAGGTCTGTGTTTAGTTTGTACTGAAAAAGATATATTGAACAGAAACCGGCAAACCCCGTACCCTCCTCTTGAAGCCTAGCTATAAAATCTATATTCAAAGAGGTACTTTTAACTGTCAATGAAGCTAAATAAAACTGGAACGAAAATAATAGCAGTCCTTGCTTCAACTTTATCATTCATATCAACTATTATTGAACCTGAAAATCCCTCTAAAAAGAAGATAAAGAGTACTTACTGATGAAGCCTTTAGTATAGATGATACTTCTCCCGCGAAAAATGATTTGAAGGAATCCTGTTTTTTTCTTTCCAGTCTTACGGATGAAACACAATTGGTAACTTTGATAACAGCCCAAACACGACAACTGGTGTTAACTCCTCGGTAGCAAACACCTTTTTCTTCCTCGTTTATCCCAAAATGTATTTCTCCTAAAGTATTTACGTAGAAATGCATATAATTGTCTTTCACACAGTATTGGCGTGATAAAGCAGTTAGGTAGTTTCCAAAAATACAGGGACTGGATTGACAAAGTCTATTCATAATGTTCGGTATAATGCTTGGGTCACAATCGGTAAAACCGAAACTAAAAGCGTTAATGTATTTTTTTGACACTGTTTCCAATTTAAGGTGCACCTGGAATGAGAATATCAAGGAAAACAAGTATATAAAAAGTTGCTGTTCTTGGTATTTGCACTCCTGACTAATGTTATAACAAACTAGCCGTACCTGTGGCACATTTTGCAAAAAATTACATAAGAATCATCTTTGGAGAGGTTTTGTATCGTATCAAAGTTTGAGCTCAATCGGTGCAGAACTTTTTGAGTTTTTGAACTGTACACGAACTTAACATTTATGTTATTTGACTAATGTTATAACCAACTAGCCGTACCTGTGGCAAATTTTGCAAAAAATTACATAAGAATCATCTTTGGAGAGGTTTTGTATCGTATCAAAGTTTGAGCTCAATCGGTGTAGAACTTTTTGAGTTTTTGAACTGTACACGAACTTAACATTTATGTTATTTGCACACACAGTTATAGGTTTTTGATTATTACACATTATCTTGTTAAAATATTAAGAGATATAAAAATGTCGAAGTTCTTTATTTACTAGAAATGTAACTTAAAACAGACTATTAGGTACATCATAAAATAACCAAATAGACGTCATTTATAAGGGAATTAAATAACAGCTGACTATAGTACGAGTACATTTTTGTTTGGAGTGCCACAAGGCAGCTTAATAGGTACTGTACTATTTTTTAATTTTCATAATTGTATATCATTGATGCAATATTAACTGTTTAATATTGTTGGCATACTCACTTTCTCGTTGATATCAACAGGCCTGGAGCTGAAGACGTAGCACTCGTGAGTCACATGATAAGGTTCAATAGCAGGCATCTCACATTTTGCTATAGTTTTATCGGGTGATAGTTTGATATATTTTCCATGGACTGAATGAAAACATAAGTCACGGAGATTCTTTAGAAAAGTTAAATTAAAAGCAGTTCCGTTACCTTAAGACAAACAAACAAAAATAAAGCTATAACCTTTTGTCTCTTTGGTTTAATTTCTTTTTTTTATACATTAGTATCATTCGCAATACCACGGCTTTACAGAAAACCTGTGTTAAACAATTTTGTCACCATTGCTTTTCACCGAGTGACTCATTTAGGAGGGATGGTGGGGGGCGGACGCACTTGTGTCTCTGCAGTAGCAGGTATTCATAGGCGGCATTAGTCACTTACCATCACATGATCCGTTTCCTCGTTTGCTCCGTTTATCATAAAAAGAGTTTTAGAAACAAATTTATGTTAGTTTTATTCAGCCGGATGGCTGTATAGAACCCAATAGACAAATAGAAAATTTACTAGAATATAAAACTCACTCCAGAAGTCAGTTGGCTTCTCTGTTGATATTCCACGTGCAGGCGCAGTCGACTTCAATATGATGTCAGTTTTTTGATTTTCTTTACTTTCGATATTTATTTTCTGGAACATCACGAAGGTTTTACAATGTGCTAGAGATCTCCTGGTCGTCGAATTTCGCCTTTTTTAAATGTCTTGTTTTATTACATCCACCTGTATAACTTGAACTGTCATTGTATAGGTTTTTGTGCCACGACAGATCAAAATGTATGCTAGACCCTAATACAAATAATAAAATCTACTTACTATAGGAAATAATTGTAAAAGCTTTTGTTCACTTAGAGATTTTAAGTCTTCAGTCTTATTTCCTTCTAAAGATTCCATTAATTTCACAGAAGAAATGTCATTAGATAGTTTTATTAATCCCCAGAAAGGCATCTTGACATTTGATACTTTAGATACACATCCCATATCTTTATAGTTTATCCCGTAACACACCTCTCCAGAAGGCTTCAGGAAAAAATAGAAAATATTTCCTTCACTACCAAAGTTGTTTGGTAAATAATTTAAGCAATTGCCGAAGATGCAGGTTCTGAATCGACAGAGCCTGGGCAGAAGGTCGCCAACGATGTTCGGATCACAATCAGTAAAGCCAAAACCAAAGGGATCTATGTAGGGTCTTGAAACTTTGTCAAGACGTAGATACACCTGAAAATAAAATTATAGGATTTGTTAACAACAGTTAATAAGCAGGTAATCGTATGATGCACACGATTATCGTTTTTATGTGGCTGTTTTTTATCCATAATATTTATTATTATTTATTTAGAAATATTTTATTATAAGAATGTATTATGTACACAAGGTGTGCATGGCTTAGGTTCAACAGCCATGTGCGAAATGTCAAGTTATTAATCTTCTCTGATCTGTAAGAATCTCAAGATTGTGATCTAGAGTCAATTTAAAGTTTTTAATGCCGATCTCTGTGGCTCGACAGACGTCCGTGTGGTGACGGATTTAGAATAGCACTGCAAAGAGAAGGAAAACTTAAAACAAACCCTATACCAACCCGTTTACCCAGCATGGTACAGTAGGCCAAAACCTCCTTTCTAAGGAGTGGCCTATGTCCAGCTGTGGACTATTAAAGGCTGATGATGATGTGGCTCAACGGTATTAGAGCGAAGTGATACGATGCGTTCACGGTATGATGCCGGGGCGATGCCTCTTCGTCATCCTGAAAACAAATAACTGTACCATGTCACATGACGCGATGGGCACCGGGCTTGGTTGGACCGCGGGACCACTGCAGCATTGTAAGTGTGTCGAGCGTGAATAATTATGAGCTGCATTTTTTTTTTAATTTGTCTTTCATACGATGAGTACCGATAAAACACGTTTCTTTCGCTCCATAGTCGTTAACAGACTGAAGTAACATACAGTAGTAGTAGTAGTAGTAGTACATAAATATAACAAACTTACTCACCTTCTCGTTAATAGCTATAGGCCTGGAGCTAAAGGCGAAACCTTCATGAGTCACTAAGAAAGGCTGCTCTTTTAGTATCACACTTGCAGTACAATAGTCGTTAGAGATCTTTACAGCCTGGCCGTGGACTCTATGAAAACGTAGTGGAGTTAGAACGTTCATTGCAACATCGGTAGAGGAAAGGGCGCAATCTGCAAGAGACAAAAAGATATATAATAGGAATAATTACCTTTTTTTACGATATCGGAGGGCAAACGAGCAGACCACCTGATGATTAGTGACAGTATACATTTGTAATTCAAGTGTCATAAGTGCGTTCCCCCTCTCTCTATTTCTGGGGAGGTTGGACCTCACTCAGGTTACCTCACACACTGTAACACCATGGTATCAAATCGAATGAATCAGCCCATATGTACACATGACACTCTCATAGTTAACTTCTAATTCTTCCTTACCTTCCTCTTCCAAGGGCCTCTTGGCATTTTCTATATTTGTTTTTGGTTTAAAAGCCATAGAGGATGCCAGTTTTTCTCTATCCGTTATTGAATTAGGATTTAGGTTATTGATATTGACAAACAGTCTCTTCGGGTCATCCTGAAATTTCAAAGAAATTCATTTGAATGTTTAAGAAATACTGTGTAATTCTATTTTAGAGTTGTAGATCCCGTGAATGACGTTAAGTTCAAGTAACTTTAGATAACTGACTTGTTGTGTTTTTTAAATTAATTTAGCCCTTTATTAAAGGGTGAGAAGGGTACAGTTTATTTTGTTACCTAAATCACTTTCAAATGCTATGCATAAATTTGCTATGCATAATTTAATTGTTCATCACAAATGCGTATATACGGTATCAGAACTTAACCTAAAAAGTAAATGAAGTTTTTTTAATATAAAAATACCCTTATTTTATGACGAATACAAAACACTGCAAAGAGAAGGAAAACTTAAAACAAACCCTATACCAACCCGTGCGTATAGTAGGCCAAAACCTCCTTTCTAAGGAGAGGCCTATGTCCAGCAGTGGACTAGTGTAGGCTGTTGATGTGATGATGTGATGTGAAATGAATAGTGATACACCGTTATCGCTACTGATTTGCTGCTCTGTAATTATCGTCTAAGTCAATTGGTTGGCATTGCAAACCCAATAGAATTATTTGTCTGACAAGGTTTTTCTTATGCTAAGTGACTGCGCCTTCGTCTAATATGCACATGGACACCCTTTTTTTTTCCGTGCGGAAATCCCCTCGGATACCACCTCGGTGGCATGTCGGACTCGAACCGATTAAAACCGCACGCCGTCTCAGGTACTAATAGCCGGGGAACCAGGTATACCCTAGAAAGGAAGTCCCTGGTGCAAGCACATGGACACCCTGGGACAGTTGCGACTACTGGAAGCGTCACATGCGCGTAGTGAAGAAGGGATGGGGCTGTTTAGGTCGCCGGCAACCTCACTCGGTTTGTGTATATTTATGGTATTTATGCTGTTATACTAACTGGCTTGCTGTTATACTTGCTACTGATAATGACAACAGTATCTGTACATAACATAAGTGAATGAGGACTTACTAAAGCGTTTGCAGTCGGTGGTGAAGGTTTCTCTATACTCAGAGCGTTCAACTCTTCAGTTTCATTTCCTTTCGGAGAATCAACGATGTTTACGAAAGTTACATAATGAGGTAGTTTTATTATTGCCCAAAGAGGGGTGTTGATATTTTTTTTATTGAATAAAAAACTCATATTTACGTCGTTCATAAAACAGTTCACTTCTCCTGACGGCTTCACACAGAATTGAAAGATTAAGTATTTGTCATTAAAGCTGTACGAAAAATATTTTAAACAATTATACAAATCGCAAGACTTAAGGTTAACTATGGTTTTCGGATCGCAATCAGTAAAACCAAAGCCGAAGTGATCCCAGTATATCCTTGAAACTGTTTCTAGGCGTAGGTAGACCTGAAATTACGATACCTTATAAATTCATTAATTCTTGTGTTTCACTTTAATTTAGAATCTGAACCAAATGAGCCTACTAACGCTAATATTATATTGGCGACAGAAGAATCTTTTGAGAAACCGATAGGGCAGACCATCTGCTCCAGTTAAAGACCTGATGCTGATCACTAACCTCAGAAATGAGAGACCGACCCCAGAGAGAGAATTTAGCCTCAATCAAGTAATAGGAAGCGGAAAAAGTATTTCGTATTTTATTTTTATGGCGTACAGGGCAAGCGAGCAGATGCCTCACCTGATGGAAAGTGACAGTGCCCATAACAACCTGCAATTCAAGAGACTTTGAGTAATCTCATCCCCTAGAATTAAGTTGGAGAGGTTGTTGTCAAACAACGTCTTCTGTTCAGTGAAAAGCATCTAAAGGATTCCTCAACACCGGAAAACGAACTCTGTGAGGGTGTGGTATCTGTCCGGTCGAGCTAGCTCATATGTGCCAAACCATGGCTTTCCAATGATTGTTGAAGTTAGACAAATAATGAAACAAAACAAAAAGAACCCTGACGCATACCTTTTCATTAATAGCGACAGGCCTGGAGCTAAATAGGACACAGTCATAGGCTGCTAAATACGATTTATCGTTTATTATTACAGGTTGTGAGGCACGGTCATCGTCAGAGATCTTGATATTTTCATGGATTCTATAAAACCGTAGGGGAAGTAGATCATTGTCCATTCTGACATTGGTGGGTGCGATTCCACTACCTGCAGAAAGAAAGAGAAAGGCATATAAAATTGCCTGGCAAGTAAATTTAAACATAATATAAGCACACACACACACTTGTTTAGTTTCTGGTTAAAGAATGTTGTGGATACCATTGTACAGCCTCTGCCTCGTTTGAAACCAGACTACCAATTATAAGATGTGTAAGGGTTATGATTATTATTCTCACCTTCTGCATTCAAGGGACTCTTCAGTTTTTCTGTATCTGTTATTGGTTTGAGAGCTTCAGAGGACTTCGGTTTTTCTTTGTCCATTGTTGAATTAAGATTAAGATTACTGACATCGTCAAGTAGCTTTTTCAGTCTAAACTGAAATTTCAAAGAATTTGAATTTGTTTTTTTTTTAAACTGTCGTATTATATAAATTGTTATACTTAGTAAGGTCACATGGTCACATGAGTAATTTAAAGGATCCCAAGGGTGCTAGTAATTTTAGGTAAGTTCAAGATTTTCGTTGCTTTTGGCTCAGTCAGTGAGGTCCTTCATATCGTGGGCCTCACCCGGACTCAAAGGACAGGGCAGACACTCAGGGGTAGCATCATTTTAGGGACTTTTGAGTTGCAGGCATTCAAGGTCATCAATAGTCACTGTACAGTAAGTGACCCGTCTGTTCGTTTGCCCCAAAAACATTTTTGAGTACAACGTCAATAATTCATAATTATCTTCATCAACAGTCTAAAATAGTCCACAGCTGGACGTAGGCGTCTCCTTTTTTTTTCTTTTATTATTTAAGGGTTTTTATCCTTTCGTATATGACAACCCCATTGTAACAATTTTAACTTACATTTAATAACATCTTAGAGGAGTCATTGCGGCCTTAGTCATGTGACAGAGTATCTTTGCTCCATTAGATGTAGGTGCAGACAGAATCATTTGGGGGATTCCTATGTCACATGGGTTTAGCTCCAATGCCCCCATGAGAATTACCCTATCCCTACGGTTTTTGACACATTCCATCAGAACATGTTGTACATCTTCCTCTACCCCACACACATTACAATTTGGAGAATCAGTTTTGTTCATTAAGTATGCAAATTTGTTTGATAGAATGTGCCCTGATCTTAATCTTAATATTAACTTAACTAAATCTCTATAAAAATTACATCCTGTAAACCATGGTGTACGAAATGGCTCAGATAGGATAGACTTATACCAAATTCCTTTGTCCCTAGATATTTTATTGAAATACTCTTTCCATTTGTAAACGGTAAGTAAATTGAATTTGTGTAATATTTCCGCATAATCTGGTGGTACATTAATTTCGATTCCGTTTGAGCACCCTTCTTTAGACAATTGGTCTGCCACTTCGTTACCATATACTTCAACATGAGAGGGAATCCATTGCAAGTTTAGAGCCCTATCCTTTCGTTGTAGTTGTAGTATCTTTTCAAGTATCACATAGGCTATCGAAACACCTCTGGCACCAGAGGTGCATCGAGCCAAGTGTTGCAATGCACTCTTGCTGTTGATATAATTACAGTATTATTCCAATTCTTATCAATCACAAATGATAGGGCTTCTGAAATTGCAACGAGTTCCGCCGACATTATTGTTAATTCAGTCTCAATATTAAAGAAGGCTTTATGTTGCACAGACACTACATAATAGGCTGCTCCCAGAGTATTATCTTTCTTTGAACCATCTGTAAAGATTTTATGCCAGTTCGCATATTTTTTGTTTAATTCATCAATTACATTATATTTTAATGAATTGTATTCATACTCTGCTTTACCTTTCGATATACTATCTAGGCCTATGTTTATTATATCTTTGATGTTTATATAAGTTACCCATGTGTTTAATGAGAACATTAGTAAAGGATAAGTACAATGAAGTTTAAATACTTTAGTTTCTTCATATGTAGACGCAAGCAAGGGCTTCTTTTTCCTCTGCCAATACCCAGTATGACACAAGGTGCTAAGTTTACATAAAAAATCCTTTTTTTTCCTCTCCTTAGGTATGAGGTTTTGGATTAATATATTACACTGGCTAGACAGGTTGGTATAGAGCTTGTGCCAAGTTTTCCAAATTTTTAAGTGTTGCTGTCCTGTGTAGTATTATTATATTCTACCACAATATCTTACCACATTCACACACCGCCATCTATTACCAAACTAAGCAGAACTTGTACTATGGGTACTAGACAACTGATATAAATACATATGTACTCTTTTTAGGGTTCCGTACCTCAAAATTTAAAAAGGAACCCTTATAAGATCACTTTCTCGTCCGTCTGTCCGTTTGTCACCACCGTTTTTCTCAGGAATGGGTAGACCTTGCAAGTTGAAATTTATACCAGATACTGAAGTCTATGGTCCCTATTAGGTGTATAAAAACCAAGGTCCTGAGTCAACATGATAAAAAGATATGGACAAATTTAGATTTACGCGAAAACTTGTAAGTACCAAAATTTACTTATTTATTATTATATTTAATTTAATTTAATTTAGGTAAATTTTGGTACTTACAAATCTAAATTTGCCCATATCTTTTTATCATATTGACGCACTGCCTTGATTTTTATACACCTAATAGGGACTATAAACCTCAGTGTCTGGTATAAATTTCAACTTGCTAGGTCCACCCGTTCTTGAGAATATCGAAAATCTACGTAAAATCTGGGTAGGTACGAAACCCTAGGCGCGCGAGTGCGACTCGCACTTGACCGTTTTTTTTGTTGTAAATACATACATATTATACATAGAAACACCCTGACCAAATCAAATATTAAATGTTTGACTTGAACGGGAATCGAACCCGCAAACTTTAGCGTAACAAAAAAAAATGTGTAAAATAAAATATGTTTGCACCTACAATAGGATAAGAATTTATGTTAGTGTAACTTAAGCGTAAATTTAATATTTGATACTAGAGGGAGCTGTACTTAAAATCAATTTTACTAAATTTTCATCGTGGGAGAACCATACTTGGTGGTATCACTTTTGTGCCGCGGCCCGCCAGGCATGATCACCTAGCATGGTCGGAAGATCCTCCCTTTGTGTTGGAGGGACATGACACCAGTTCCTCTACATACCTAATAAAAAAGTGAAATACTTACAAACTCATTTATAGTTGGTGGTGAAGGCTTCTCTTCACTCAAAAGCGTCAACTCTTTAGTTTCATTTGCGTTTGGAGAATCAATGATTTTTAAAGTAATTACATTATGAGGTAGTTTCATTACTGCCCAAACAGGGGCGTTGATGTTTATGTTCATAGATAAAAAAACCATGTTTACGCCATTCATAAAACAGCTCACTTCTCCTGACGGCTTCACACAGAAACCGAAAATATAGTCCTTGTTATTAAAATTGTTCGAAAACTGTTTTAACCGATTGAAGCATTCGCTGCAATTGATGTCGGTTATGGTGTTTGGATCATAATGAGTAAAGCCAAAGCTTACGAGATCCACGAATGACCTTGGAACTGTTTCCAGGCGTAGGTATACCTGGAATTAGAATAACACAAAAATTAAGACTCTGGCTGATATCCAATAAGGTTACGGAAACATTTTTCAAAACTCAAATTGGTGCTATTGAAACATCTGGACCCATAATGCAATATCCTTTTTTTTGCCACCAGGGTTTGCGGCAGGGTGGTGTGTCAGAATCGAACGGAATTAAACTACATAGTATGCCACTTTCTGCAATAGGAGGGATCCGGGAACTGCATGTATTAAGACATCCGAACCTCTCCCTAGCGTTTGCCCGCAATAGCGTATCCAATAAATAAATAAACACCCTTTAACAGTCCACAGCTGGACATAGGCCTCTCCTTAGAAAGGAGGTTTTGGCCTACTATAAAACGCTGGCCAGACGGGTTGGTGTTGTTTTCCTTCTCTATGCAGTGCTGCTGTCTGTTGTTGGTGTGGTGAGAGTCTGTATTCTTAATCCGTCACCATACGGATATATATATATATAATTAATACAGAATATATGGCTTTGTTTATTACTGTTCGGAAACGCAAAACGAACGAAATAAAAAAACGCAAATATAAATAGTAAGACTGCCTCACCATCTCATTAATAGCGATGGGCCTGGAGGTAAACACCATATATTTTTGTTGGCCTGAAAATGGTGCGTCTTTCTCCATTTCTGATAGTTCTGATATGACTGGTTGTGCCGTACAATAGTCGTTAGACATCTTAATATTTTCGCCGTGGATTCTATGAAAGCGTACAGGAGGTAGATCCTGCACTGTGACATTGGTGTCGGCCACTCCACTATCTACACGAAGAGAGATAATGAATTTTGATTTAGTATGAATGGAAATAAACGTGCTTAATTGATTTTGTGTGTGTGTTACAAGTGTATAACCTCCGCCAAGTGCTGCGTTTTCACTTTCTTCATTTCCTACTGTCTTCTTCTCTAAGTCTGCTTCCCCATCTGGTTTCAGTTTAGTTTCTTCTTCTTTAATATCCCATTTCTGATTATTCTTACCGAGATCAGTCTGAAATCAGGATGTTTGTAAGTAAATAAACTTCTAAAGAGGATTTTCATGGTGAGTGAGGTTAAAGAAAGCCCCTCTCCCTCTCTAAATTAACAGGAGGGAGCGAGAAATTGTATGTCTTGAATCGTAAGTGTCTATGTGCAGAGGCAGTTAGTTTTCATCAGATGATTTGCTTGTTTGCTCAATACCATAGACAAATATTTAGTGTTGTCAAGCATTGGCATATAATCAAATTATTATTTGATGTAGGTTTTTCTTTATTGCTTTACAGAAATTTTATTATTAATCATGCCTATTGTCGAGTCTGGGTTGTGTTCGTAAATTATTTATTGGTTTATAAAGTACTATTCAATGGATTTTTTATAACATAGAGGGCAAACCAAAAAAAGGGGCAAAACCAGCCAACGGTTCACCCGATGGTAAGTGACTACCCACGCCCATGGAACTCCGGTAACCCCATTCATTCGGTAAAAAGCAATGATGGAATTGGTTAGCAACGGTTTTCTGTGAGGCCGGGACATTCTGGTCAAGCCTAGTCCATATACTTATGCCAAAGCCATGGCTCTAAACTAAAATATCGCATCACATACAAAAAAAAACGTCGAGCGTGAACCTCCTCTATTTTGTTTTAGAAGTCGAATAAAAAGAGATAGGAAAATGCTAATTCTTACTGGACCCTCATCTACAGATGGTTACAGAAATTGGATGTATCAAAAATGATTTACTTACTAAAGCATTAGTAGTCGGTGGTAAAGGCTTCTCTAAACTCAGAGGTTTTAACTCTTCAGTTTCATTATTATTTGGAGAATCAATGAATGATACACTAGTTACATTATGGGATAGTTTTATTACTGCCCAAAGAGGGACGTTAATGTTTACTTTTCTGAATAAACAACCCATGTCTTTATCGTTCATGCCATACCCCACCATTCCAGACGGCTCCACGCAGAAATAGTGGGTATTATTCTTATTAGAAAAGTTGTTTGAAAAATAATTTAAACTGTTATTTAAATTAAGGTCGACTCTGGTGTACGGATTACATTCGGTAATGCCAAAGCCGAAGTATTCCAGGAATGTTTTTGGAACTGTTTCCAGCCGCATGTACACCTGTAATTAGAATAATACATTTAATTTATGTGGTACGGCACTCTTGTCTGTATCCCGTTAGGTAGAGACATTTACAAAAATACATTTTGCCAACTTTACTATAAAGTATTACACGGAAAAGCGTACTAATATTACATGAGCAACAGAAAAAACTTAAATACTCCCATCTAACTAATATTGTTAAGACAATAAAAAAGCAAATACAAATAAAAAGAATAACTCACCTTCTCACCAATAGCGATGGGCCTGGAGCTGAACACAATATATTTTTGGTAGCCTGGAAGTGATTGGTTGTTTTGTATTGCTGATATGTCTGGTCGAGCAGTACAATAGTCGTCAGAAATCTTAATATACTCGCCATGGACTCTATGAAACCGTAAAGGAGGTAGATTCTGCACTGTAACATTAGTTGGGGCAACTCCACAGCCTGTAGGAAGAGAGATAGTAAAGTTTAATTTAGTATGCGTAGAATAGTCAGCGGTGGGCCTGGAGCTGAACACCATATATTTTTGGTAGCCTGGAAGTGAATGGTTGTTTTGTATTGCTGATATGTCTGGTCGAGCAGTACAATAGTCTTTAGGAATTTTAATATTATATTCGCCGTGTACCCTATGAAACCGTGGAGTAGATAGATCTTCCTGCACTGTGACATTGGTGGGGGTAGCTATACTGTCTGCAAGAAGAGAGAAAAGAGATAATAAATTTTGAATTAGTATAAATGGAAAATAAATGTGTTTTACTGATTTATGTGTGTGTTACAAGTCTATTAACTCTAACCTCGTATCATATCTAAAGTCTTCTGATTCTTACTTACCTTCTGCATTCAAGGCACTCTTCACATTTTCTGTATTTGTATCTGGTTTGAGAGCTTCAGAGGATTCCGGTTCTTTAGTTTCGATCGTTGATTTGACCTTTAGGTTATTCATATTGTCAAGCAGTTTGTTCATTGCGTCCTAAGATTTCAAAGAGGTTAATAATTTGATTTTAAAACATGAACCATTTTCTTTACTTTATCTTCTTCTTTCTTCTTGTCTAAAGATGGTAACATTTGCAAGGAGATCGGCAATAAAAGAAACATGCTAAAATTTTGCAATAATACACAATGCGTTCATTTTAAATAAAATTGGGAAAGGGTCAGGAAAACAATGACAAGAATGAAAAAATATTAATACTTACCAACAATTCCATATTCTTTGGGTTTTCGGAAGATCCCTTTTTGTCTTTCCCTATAGGAACCGCATCACACGCTGATAAATCATCAAGTTCTTTACTATTTTCATTTTCTTCAGATTGTATAGTTTCTAAATCTTTTTTCTCTTCTGGTACGCTTCTGTCTTCTATATGCTTACTTTTACTCTCAGATCTCAAATTTACTGGACTTGTTTCCATTATATAACGTTATCTGAAATTAAGTAAGGAATATAAAATTAACCAAACAAATGCATTCTACTTTCTTTTAAAAAATCTTTTAAGAACGATGCAGTCCGCCTATGGAATGTATTACATGAATCTACTCGTATGAGACATACCCATCGTTATTTTAAAATAATTCATCATTATCAGCAGCATCCTTAGAAAGGAGGTTTTAGGTTACTATCCCACGCTGTATAGATGGGTTGGTATAGAACACACCACCCCAGTTTGGCCAGCCGCGAGGGGGCGGCGTCCGCGTGTGCCGGACGTCGCAAAAAGAGAGGAAAATATATTGAGACGGAGCCCGCACCAGGAGCGGGCTGGCGCTAGGAGGGGTCCGGATGTCTTAACAACAGCTGTTCCCGGATCCCAGAGTGGCACACCGTGTGGTTTTAGTCGGTCCGAGTCCGACACACCACCCCGCCGCAAACCCCGGTGGGGTGACGGTCCGAGGGGATTTCCACACGTAAAAAAAATAATTGTTTGTTTCAAATTCTTCATGCGTTAGTTACTTACACATTGTGGATGTTTTATTCCAATATTTGTATGCTCAGTACGTTTGTTTAGGAGTGTACACGCTCAACTTTGGGTTTAATTTAATAAAAATCGTTGACACTTTCGATTTATTCGATTTTGCATTATGAATACCCGCAATCGCTATCGTACCGCACGCACCAATCGCTATCGCGCATAACCATAATCGACGGATTATCGAAGATAATTAGTACTTATTCGAATGCATTCGAATAAATTACACTATCTAATAATTCGATTGTTTTTAATAACAATGGACCATCGCTAGTTGAGTGCTGTAAGTGCCCGTTGAATGGGGGAATTAAAATGTGCCGTGCGACATATATGTGGTGCAAATAATCTGTGATTTCCAACACACCTGTAGTTATTGGATACAAACAATCGACATACTTCTGGGTTAATTGGGTCCGTGTGGTCACGGGTTAAGAATACAGAGTGTCACCACCCCTATTCATCCCGTGGGTGTTGTAAGAGGCGACTAAGGAAGCAAACTACGCTGAATAACAGCACTGCAGAGAGAAGGAAAACTTGAAACAAACCCTATTCCAACCCGTCTGGCCAGCGTGGTATAGTGGGCCAAAACCTCCTTCCTAAGGAGAGACTTATGTCCAGCAGTGGACTAGTAAAGGCTGTTAATGATGATGATGACAAATTGGGGCTAATAATGCGAGGGGCCACAAGGGCGGTCTGGAGTTGCAGAGGTCGTTTGCTCAATCGCGACAATCGCGCCCTACACCATAAAATATATATATATACCTATAATTCTACTCAGATGTAAACATAGTAATGTAAATAGACGCAAATATAATTTAAAACGAACTATATCTGCCCAACATAGCAGTAAATTAAATATTTATTGATGCAATAACCTAATTTAATCACAAATCAAACCCGGCAACGGTTGATTATCAACTTATAAATATTATCGTCATACCTTTTTTTTATTTTCATCCACAATATGTACCTACTCATTTAACAATATTTGTTGCACTTGAACTCTAAAACAATTCTAAATATACATAAATCACAATCAAAAACATAGAAAAATGTATAAAACGTGCGTTATTTCTGCACACGCCCGAATTATTCCACTAACTAAACTGTTAACTGAGTAATCTGAGTATTATCAAAACGTACAACGTGAATGAATGAGACAGTTGTGTTTATACTGTGTCTCTGTCTCTTTCTTCATAGTACTGAGGCCCAAAGGGAGACAAAATATAGTTATTATAACGGTATTTATTCCCAAGGCCGCGATACGGGACACTATGTCGCCTTGGTAACATATTTCCATACCTATACATAATATTTATGTATGCAAGCTAAAGGGTTTATTAGTCGGAATCAGATATTTGACGTGCAAATTTTATAAGGAATTTTATGCCTTATTTGTCATAACGCTAAGACTTTTAAGAACGTAGCAATGACCCTATACCGCTATAGTCGTAGATTAGTGTCGGATCTGACATTTATTGAACTTCACAGGGCAGCCATTTCAAATAATTATGTTATTTTATTAACCGACTTCAAAAAGGAGGAGGTTCTCAATTCGATTGGTATTTTTTTTTTATGTATGTACACCGATTACTCTCAGATTTATGATCCGATTTACGTGATTCTTCTTTAGTTTGATGCGGAATAGTTGCCATTTGGTCCCATAAAAATTTAACATAGTTAGGCCTAGTAGTTTTCATTTAAGTTGATTATATATATATATACATATATATATATATATTATATATATATATATATATATATAATTAACCCGTGTCCCGGTAAGTGGGTCTTAGGCTACCTGTCATTGAAGCGGAGCGAGCTTGCGGAGTAGAGAAATTGAGAAATATTATAACCAATACGATTGCATATAAAATCTCGGAACGGAGAAATAAATAAAAAGGATATTTTAAAAATAAGTAAAAAAAAATAATCTAGATTTAACAGTCTTAATCGTTGCATTTCCTGTAGTGCTTTGTCACCATGTGGTTTGTGTAATAATTTAGATGGTTCCAAATCAGTTAATGCCACGCCATCTAAATTCTTCACTCGACTTAAAGCCACATATATCTGACCTTTTGCAAATTTTTTTTCCGAGGTTTATCACCCCCCTTTCCAATGTCGTACCTTGGAGCTTGTGAACGGTGACAGCCCAACTTAAAATTAGTGGAAGCATTAATCTCTCGACATCACCGTAACCTTTATTAGCCTGAAAAGTTCAACGAAATGTTATAGTTTACCTGATGTAATCTAGAAAAATCCTACTGTAGTTAACAGAACAACCTATTTCAGACACTAAAAAGTAAAAAATAAAAAAAACTACGTTTAAAAAAACCGACTTCAAAAACTAAAAAGTATAAAATAACTTAATAAAGATTAAATTTAATACACCTCTTATGCAAACCTTTAATATTAATAAAATACTATTGTTTGTATGTGCTACCTATTGATAGGTTTGAAGTCGGTGCCAAGCCCTAAACAAAATAAAACTTAATATTATAAACAACTTACTTACTGTTATCAAATTTCTACACTAAAGATTAACCTACGTAAATAAACCTAAAGAACAATGTGAATTAATGTGAAACAGATGAAAACTTTATTATAAAAATATATATAATATTAACACCTGGATGAGTAACTATAGCTATACTTATTAAACCTATATTATTCGTATATATGAATATATTTGTGGCCCTGAAAAGGACCTTTTGATTAGCGTATTGTGTGACGAGCACACAACATGTTAAGTAATAATGAATACCTACAATTATGAAAACAACTTGTATAGAGCTTCGTGCAAGATATAAATTATACAAATCTATCAATTAGGTAACAACGCATCAAAATTTTACTATATTTCGAGACGACCGTCAACGACATGTGCCCGCGCGTGTTGTTTTGTTCAAGACGAAGCTATCCTGCTTAAAGTTACGCGCGACGAGTGTATTCTATTACATGTGGCTACGCACCGAATTGAAACCTATCAATAGGTAGCACATGCAAACAATAGTATTTTTATTAATATTAAAGGTTTGCATAAGAGGTGTATTAAATTTAATCTTTATTAAGTTATTTTATACTTTTTAGTTTTTGAAGTCGGTTTTTTTAAACATAGTTTTTTTTATTAATTCTAAATCTGTAGTTATGAAAATTGGCATACAAGTAAAAATAGGGTTTTTTTCAAATGCAATAAAAGTAACAACTAATAATTTTATAATTATCTAGAAAAATCACATGCTTAAACATTCTTATTTTTACTTTGAGCGCCTATCAAACAAACACTGAATACTTTATTTTAATTTAATTATTCTTGAATGTTGTAATAATATTTAGACCATGTAGTATCCAAATATGGTAAAAACTGAATTTCGTTTTTTTTTCAAAACCGACATTATTCTACGATTTTGTAGTGAAACTGTATTTAGACTAGGCTTGCCTGAAGGCCGCGAAATACGGGAAAGTACCGGTATTTTGCGTTTTGCGCCTTGTCCCGTGTCCAGTAATTAGATTTTAGAATTGTCCGCAATTACGAAAACTTGTAGGTTTTTGGTCCTGGATTCCTATCAAAATCAACAAACCATAAGAGGGTTCTCAAATTTTTAATGAAATCCCTTTGACTGGGTCGTTAATACAGTCTGACAGAAGAGAAGTAAAATTAAGCAACGGAAGAATTGCTTAATTTTGCAAATTTCTGTGATGTCATCGCTCCGGTTCAGGTGGTGGCTTTCCCACAGTTATTATTCCAAAATAGCACAGGCACGAACTATTTTTTCAACGTAAACGCCATCCTCGGACTGGTTTCCTTTGAAAACCAGCGCTGTTCACTCGTAAGCACTGATATCCTGCTCATGTGACGGGTTAATGCTTACAGGTGCCATTTGCGTGGAATTAAAAATATTTTTCATTTCATTATTATTATTTTTTATTAATTTTATACGCTCCTTTGATACCTTATCTCTATTCGTTCAATGATATATAAACATATTATAATATGTCATTGTATTCGTTTATTTAATCATGTGTTTGTTATCAAAAAATCATTTGCGTTGGAATTTTAAAAATATTCGAACGCCTTATCTTACTTGCACTTAGCTTATTGCAGTGGAAACATTTTCAAAGCGTTAGGAATGTTATTTATCAGTTAAATTAATCTCTATAATCATCGATATAAATTTTAAAAGCTTTTTAGTGTATAATACAAAATTAAATTGTATTTTGAGTCTGTTTTCTTTGCCGAATGAATGTAGATATGCAAAATTACAAGGAAAAGTTATTTTCATTCTTATCAATCAGTTCTCTGATTTGATTACTACTACTTGATAAATTTTAACACGTAAGAGTGTTTGGTTATAAAAAAGAAAAATTACGTTGAAACTTTTTAAATGTATTTTTAGGAGATCAGAGGTAGAGTTCTTTTCTTTTTGAAAAAGACGACGATGAATTTC